TCTACTTATTTACTTTTTTTAACTTTTTTATTTTTTACTTTACGTAGACCGACTAGTTAGGTACGACTACTTCTACTCGTCGTCGTTTCGTTAAATACCTCCTCTCTCTCTCTCTCTCTCTCTCTCGAACCCAAAACCTCTCTTCTGGAAACCCAAACGACTCTTAATGCGAAAGTTAATTCCGGGACCGGAATGGCTTAAAATGAGCCAAAGCATTAATAGAAGATGATATTTCCATTTTTTTGACAAAAAAAGGCTAAAAATACAATGGAATCTTTCCAAAAGAAAAAGGACAAGAAAATCCATATTCATAATCACCGAATCTAGGCGATGTTCCACCCTAATGAGCAAGGCAATTTCACCCTAAGAGAACCTGGATTGAACAAGTGGCATGGCGATAGTTTGAACTAGCCTTTATTTTTAGGGTGTGGTTCGTTTAGAGTCGAAGCTCTAAACAATCAGATTAGAGCCCACCTTCAATTAGTATCGAGAAAAGTGGTTTTAATATTGAAAATCTTTGTGATAGCTTTAAAATATACTATTAATTTTAATTATAAAATCTAAAACTTCAAAAATAGTGTAGATCGAGCAGTTCTATGAAAACTTGAAAAACTTGAAAATTGACGGTCCAAAAATGCGTTACAAGATGTACAATTTGAGGATATTTGAGCATCAAAACAACCTTTTGAGCTGGGCTCTAATTTGATTGTTTAGAGCCTCAGCTCTATATGAACTTTTCCCTCATTTTTAAGTTCTTATTTTTAAAAAATTTATATAAATACTCATAACAGATGAATTCTTTAATAAATTATTTGAAACTTTTTTTTTTGGTAAGTAAAAATTGGGGTCATGTCAGGATTTGAACTCAACAGTGTTCTTTTATGGGTATTTTGAAATCAAATCAAAAGATATAGGTAAAATATTGAATTGTTAATCTCTTATAGGAAAATTTGATAAATTTCTCTTCATTTTTTATCGACAGTTTTAATTAATCAACCTCGCCGCGAGTCGGTTAATCTGGATTCATCCAGCGACCAACTCAGTAAGCCAATCTATTTCTTTAACCCTACTCGAACTGGAAGATGTATCGTTCATGAAAATCAGAGACCTCTATTCGAGTTGCGCCACTCCAAAATGGAGATTTCGTTATCAAGGAAGGTGAGTATTAGGTTTGACAAGTACTTCAAAATCCGGATCGGGGAGGTGGCTCATCCATATCACATGGCTATGACATATTGCAGATTATCTGAAAGAATATTAAAAATATAAAAAAGTCAAACAGGGAATGCATACTAAGAGACCATCTATTTTCACTGCAAGAACGTTACAGAAATTATCTGTAGCCATTAGATTTGAAATCTAAATACTAAGAATTAAGCGAGAAATTTTTTGTTAAGCATCGTACATGATCAATGGTAAATACTTTTAGCTAGTTGATTTTCATATTTGATGGCTTAGGGGCCTAACAAATATTAGATAAGCCACAGAAAATTAATTCAGGGAAGTCCAAACCGGAACTGATACCTTTTCAATATCAATTCCATCCCAATCCCTCGGATCAGTGGACTTTGGAAGCTCCTTTTAAACAACATGTGTGGGTATCAAACACTTTGTTTCAATTAACGTTTTAAAACCCGAATCAATAAGGCGGATCATTCATCTAAAAATCTGTGTTCAATCGTTGGATGGGTGATCTACATGGAGTCTACATCAATTTGAATGGGTAATCCAAAAAACTTTTAAAAAATAATAATATAAAAACTGAAATAGGGGTTTATACTGGGAATTTAGAGGGAACTTATACAAATATTAAATAAGTTTAGTTAAAAGGAAAAAAATACATAAGAGGTCTTAGTAGGGAATCAGAGACGAGCACTGTTGGAAAAACAGGACGAATCTAACCGGTAACCACCCGGTTAGATCGGAACAGACCACTGGTTTTGATTTTGAGCGGTTTTGATGATCGGCCGGTATTTAAAATAAACAATTAAAAAATATATACATAAATTTTTAAAAGTAAAAAAATTTGTTTGTAATACATTTTTTAATATTCTTTATATTATGGTAAAGATTGAAAAATTATTTTGGTCATTAATACTCACTTTTATATCTTCTCCATCTTTTTCAAAAAAATTTAAAAATATCTTTAAACAGACACAAATTGATTATTTAAAATTCATTTTTTCAGTAATTTTCAAATGTGTTTTGTTTTAATCATTTTTTGTATTTTTTTCATATTTTAGTTGATTTTTTTTATTTTTTAATATTTTCTTGGCTGCCCAGGACTTACCCAATTGAATCAGTCGATTTATCGATTAAACCGCTTTCGAACCCATGTCCGATTAACCGTTCGGATTCGATTTTGCAAGTCGAGCCATTAGATCCGGACCTATTGCAATCCAAATGAGGATTGGAAATCTGAGAAATCACAAGTGTTTTAAAACTCCGTTTCAATTATTGGCAAGAGGACAAGATTTCCTGTTCTTCCACGTCGAGCCTACGTGGCGGGACCCAGAAGAGGACAAAGTTACTCACGGATACAGCTAAGCCAAACGTAACACGTGGCACTCTTAGAGCTCTCCAAAATTTAGGCTATCGAGGTCTCCGTGAGGCGTGGCTCGTTCATCTTCGGAGTTTTCCTTAATCTTCTTATTAACCCATGTCTATTGAGAAAATAACAAATTTATCCTCAAGGGTAAATTATTGTCTTAAATGACCATTTTGACCTCTTTTCTTCTAATGCTATTTGCTTCTATGCTTGTTTAGATGACACAATTTTATATGATTGTTTTCTTCTTCGTATTAATATACTTTGTGCATTATTATTGTGTTTCAGTTGTTTGGTACATGAATTTATTATATATTATATTTTTAAATTTGGATAAACCCTCGATTTTAAGTAATTATTAAAGTATAGCACATCCCTTAATTGTACCAGAAGAGGTGGTTCTAGTGCGGGAAGGCTTCACATGAAAATCTATTTTTATAAGTTTCAAAAATAGTATACATGAAGCAGATTTATGGACGCTTAAAAATCATGAGAATGGATGTCTCAAATAAAGGATAAAAAGATGCACTATGTTTTGAACTTGAATTTTTTTTTTCTTTTGTATACATGCATTTTAAGGTCGAGATGATTAATTGGGTAGGTTTTTAAGCCGCAACTTATTTCTATGATATAAGGTTGGTGCCCTATATAAATATTTTTATTTGTTTTTATTTGTTTTTAGATATTTTTAGATTTTTTAGCTATTTTTAATTAAGATATATATAATTTTCAGTAAATTATTTTGAACAAAGTAAGAACAAGTTTTAAAAAGATAAACTGAATATAAGTTTGTCTTATAACATTTATGATAAATACCGTCAAACAATAATAAGGCCTAATTTTATTAAAAATGATAAATTATCATGTAATCGAAACATTTCCCTCAGATGACCTTCTCTTTATGTGCGTAGGGTCGTGGGATTCTACCTTATATGCGTACATTCATGGAAAACAAACAAGGGGCTATTTTTGTAGCCCTTCCTTGTCATATAATTCCACGAGAGATCATTATATCGTGTTAATAAATTAATAAAGGAAAATGGTTTGATAGGGTTGCAGCCCTATCAAAATAAAAATAAAAAACCTTATTTCATAACTCATAGAAAATTGAAATTTAAGTGATGGAAAACCTTTAAATCGATCATCTCAATTTGAATATTATGATTGTAAAAAAAAAAAAAGGATTTTAAACTATAAAAATAGTGTATATTACAATAAATTATCTAGACTTTTTATTTCACCATAAAAATAAGTGTTCATATATCCTACCATTTTTTTTTAATTTCAAATTATATTATTGGTGTTGAAAATTGATTTTAAAGCCATCATGAAAATTTTTTTATCACCGAAGTACTTTTTGAATCAAGATATTAGGTTAGGCTTTATTTTGTTTTCATAAAGAACGGGGTTCGGGTTTGGGTGTGTGTGGTTTACGGCTAATGTTTAAAAATGATGTACTTCAAGTTTGTTTCGTACAGTTGAATTATTCCTTGTAAGAAAAATAAATGGTTTTATTATATACAATAGCGTGATTATAATTACTTACACTGTAATTAGCTGATTATAAGATTAGCTGTATCGGGGCATTATAGATATTTTACAGTTTAATAGAGGGTATATAATTTTATCCCAAGGCAAAAAGGTCATTTTTAGAAGTGAGGGAGTCATTGTCATTCTCGTGAAGTTGAGGTGTTCTTCACATCTACATTTCTAAAATAGGTGCATTTTAACTGTGGCCTCTCTCTGTCTCAAAATTTTAGCAAGAATTGAAGGAAAGAATCTTTCTTCTTCCTCTGGTCATTTTGATGCAATCAATAATTTAATACTTGGGTGTTCTGATCTCTGTGCGCTACTTGCCTGAAACAGACAGAAAGAGGGATAAAGATGGCCCCATGAATAATCACGTGAGAATTTGCCAGCCATGAAATTCGTAGTTTTTCTGCGAAATTCATATGAAATTATGAGATGGGTCATCAAATTAATGGATTCTCTGAATACCCATCAAAAAATATGAGGTGGGTTTTCGGTGTTCTCTAGATATTTTGCATCATGAACTTTCATCTTTCTGTAAGTTGAAGCATAATTTCATGAAAATATCTGATGGGATATATGTATCTGATCAATAATATATTGTATTCAATGCGACGTATACACTAGAAGTCTCTCTCTCTCTGTCTCTCTCATGTGGGCGGCGTTTATCTATTTTGGATATGGGCGAATCTCATGCTTGTGTCATATTGTGGACTGATATTTGCTAGTCATATAAAAGGGAGCTGAGTTACTTATGTGGGGGAGGCAGACTGATTAATCCGTTTTCTGGAAACCACCATTGACTTTTGTATATAATCAAATAAGAGAAGTGGTGATTTCTATTTGGATAATCCAGTTTTGAGAAGGTGATGAATCGATTTTCTCCTTTGCTATATGTTAGAATTGCTCTTCTTTACAGTTTACAGTTTCAAAAAATTAAAACCGGTGATGAATCGATTACAGCTGATAGAGTTGTAGGTCTATTTGCCTGAGAAAAAACAAATTTTTAACCTGGTTGTTTGGTGGTTTGCTTTTTTCTCTATACATTATGTTACTTATCTGAAGTAATTTGTTTATTGATGATCGTGTATCATGATGGTAACATTTTTCTGAAAAGTCATACTATTAGATCTTGTTTTTAATTTCTTGGTGATGGTCTTTGATTTATATTGTCTGTTGAATGTGTTGCCTTTATGCCTTAGAATTTGGTGTTTATGGATGCCTAGAATCCTTATTCGATCATATGATTTTGGTTTATTGTATATTTTGTTGGGATCAATGCAGGGGGTTTACTGATTAATATGAAAACCAGAGATCCGTAGCTGTGTTTATTAAGGTTTGGTATGAATTTGGTTTTTTCAGTTTTGGGTTGGCAAAGATGGATGGAGGAAAGAAGCAAAAGAAGTTTCTTACAGTGGCCCCATTTGAGTGTGTGTGGCTTATGGAAAGATTCCGAGATGCCGGGCGTGGGTGTGTGACTTTCGAAGCATTTGCTCGAAATGACATCACAGTGGTGTTCAGGGAGCATGCAGGTACTCAGAATTACCATTACAAGACTGACAATACTCCTCACTATACTGTTATACTTGGAAGCCATAGGAACAGGAGGCTCAAGATCGAAGTAGATGGCAAAAGCGTAGTGGATGTTGCAGGTATTGGATTGGTTCTTTTTGTTCCTTTGTTTTGTTAGTCATGTGAACAAAACTGGTTAGATGCCTCTTTTTCATTTTTGACAGTTTTTTTTTACCAGATAAAGAGAAAGGGGGGGGGGGAACAAATCCATGTCGTATCCTTTGGCAGAAAGTTTTCCTTCCCTTTTTTTTTTTGGATTTTACTTGTTTTTTTTTTAACAGTTATTTTATAAGAGAAAAAAAAAAATCAAAGAAAAATTACAAATGACATTTTCTTTAATAAATTTGTGAGCAAATAGTTATACATATGAAGAAAATAGAAATATGAAGTACTTCTTAAAAGAGTGATTAGCCTTAGAAGATCTGCTTTTTAAAGAATCTATAAGTAGGCTTTTAATTTTGATCATTTGATTGTCTCTTAGGTGTTGGGTCATATTTTGTTGTTCATCTATTTATCAGTCAATAATGGTTTGATCAAAACAAATTATTCTTTTCCTTGTCATTAACAGTTTTATCATATGACTGTTTCTTTATAAGTTTAGCCAATTGCTTTTATAAACAAAATTAACACTTACTAAGCATTGCTTTAGAACAAAGTAAATATAACAGGTAACACTTAAAATAGTTGGTCTAATGCCTCCTTTTCAAGAATATCCCACCAGACCCTTAAATTGGAAAATTTTGATTATCTCCTAGGTATTGTGCTGTTTTGTTTGTTTGTCTGTCGTGTTAGTTAATAGTGGTTTTGTCAAAGCAAGGTTGGGACATGCTTTATTTCCTTTTAAACAGAATGGCCCACTTCTTATTAGTTAATATAACGATTTGTGTAGAATCTGATGGTCAACTGCCAGTGTTCATTCAAAAAAAAGGGAAAAAAGAGTTAATAGCCATTGCATTAGAAACAAAATTTGAATCACCAATTGTTTTAAAAGAGAAACTACCCTTATTTATTGCTTTTCCTTTTCAAGAATCGCCACCTAGCCTTCTGATTTGGACCACCTGATTCTCTCTTGCAGGTATTGGGTTGTGTTGTACTTCCGGCTTCCAGAGTTATTGGATTAGCTTCTGCGATGGTCTAATTAGTATAGGTAAGGGCCAGTACCCTTTCCAAGATGTGGTCTTCCAATGGCTCCACTCAGAACCAAACTGTAAGGTTCAGTATGTGGGACTTAGTAGCTGGGACAAGCATGTTGGATATAGAAATGTGACAGTGATGCCCTTGCATCAAATGAACTACATTACTCTGCAAAAGCATGTGAATAACACAATATTGGACTTGAGTGATGATGAAGAAGAAGATGGGTTCAATGCCTATGAAGGATGGGGCCTTGGAAAATTTCTAGAGAACTGGGATCTTCATGATGTGTTCTTTGTTGTGGGTCTCGAGGAAAAGGTGATTCCTGCACATCGGGTCATTCTTGAGACCTGCAGTAGCTTCGGTCGCCTTTTATTGAATGAAAATAATGTGATCAGGCTTCCTTCTATTTCCCATCCAGTCCTTCATGCTCTCCTTCAGTATATCTACACTGGGCGATGTGAGGTGTGTTTGATTTAACCATCATTTCTCTCTCTCTCTCTCTCTCTCTCTCTCTCTCTCACACACACACACTCTCTCTCTCATACACACATAGAGGTATCTATGGATTTTTATAGTTTGTGGTTGTCTTTCTCAACCTTGTATACTTCTGTGTAATGCAATTTTGCCTTGCGCGACCTTACTACCCTTTGGATTGCTTGTTGATACTTGGTAGTGTTTTGTTCCAAAATGTTCAGATTATGGAGTCTCAGCTTGGTAGATTAAGAGATTTGAGCAAAGAGTTTGAAGTTACAGCACTCGTTAAGCGATGTGAAGAATTAGTGAATCGATCCAAATCGAGGAATATTTTGTTAGAACCTGATAAGAAACATGAAATAGTACACACGAGCTTCAAGGCACACCGATGCACTGTCTTTCCCTGTGAGCTTCCCATTGATGTGCTGAAACTGAAGCAGTTGCTTATAAATGGTGAGCACAGCGATGTCGATATATACATTGATGGGAAGGGTCTCATTGCTCGATGTCATAAACTCATTCTCAGTTTATGGAGCATTCCTTTTGCAAAGGTATTTGGGATTCTATCGCTTCTTTTTGTTGGCTTCTCCCCCATCTTTCCTCATGACTTTTGGCATTAAACTTTATATGCTAATCCATGTTGATTTCTGGCAAATGTGGTGCAAAAGCTATGTAATAAAATGCATTGCTCCATCATTAGAATTGGAGTCATGATTATGCAATCACAAATAAATCAACTGAAATTTAACAAATTCTTTTGCAACAGTCATATTTTTCTTAGCTGAAATCATATAGTATCTTTTCATAGTTGAGTAACCTGCATGAGATTTCTGAAACGATAGTTACTTTGTAAGTTTGTCTAACTGACACTAGGTCGTAAGTATACACCACAAGTAATCCTTAAATGTCAGTTTGGGCTATTTTCTGCATGTAGGATGGAAGAAACTTGCAAATCATGGTCACATTTAGTGATGGGAGTATTCTATAACACACGTAGATGAGACTCTCCTTTTTATTTTGCCCATGGTTCTTGTTTGGTATTTATTTTTGACGAGCTTGCTGATGTTGGACAGATGTTTACAAATGGAATGAGCGAAAGCAAATCTTCAAGGATTTGCCTGAGGGATGTCCATGCAGATGCCTTTTTGGCCATGCTGCACTTCATGTACACTGGTGAATTCAAAGACAATGATAGCTGGGAAATGGGTTCCCTGTTACTCCCCCTCCTTGTGTTGTCTGATCAATATGGAGTTGATTTTCTTCAGCAGGAATGTTGCAAATACCTATTGGACTGTCTATCAGAGGTGGTCACTCCTTCCCATCCCTATTTTCTCGATAAATTTCTAAAGAGAAGTCTAAAACCAAACAGCTATTTTGAGCTTATTTGCATGTAATTTTTTGAGGCAGCTTCTTATTTACCCTTCAATGGATTTTTTGAAATCATATTTTTCTGTCTAAAATTAACGTAAGAGATATGTCATTTAAAAACAAATGTTTTCAACATATAAGGTTTAATTGGATGATTCCTAGGGAAAGTTCGGCCTGTCTTTACTAATTTATATCTTGGATTGGTTGTTTGATTTATCTTGTAGGATTAATGTGTCCAAATTGCTATTCTGTCCTAATTTATATCTCAGATTGTTTTTTGAATTTTGTAGGATCAGTGTGTACCATTGACTAGTCTATTTGGGGTCGGTCCTTGTTGGCTTTTTGGATTCTCTTTTAGGATGCTCCATACCGCTTTGATTTTTTTTTCACTCATTTATTGTTTGGGCTGGGCTGTTTTGGATTTTGTTTTAGGAATCATTGTGCCACATTCTGCAAGTAGTTTCATTGATGCCAACATGTAAGCTACTCGAAGAACTCTGTGTCAAGAAATTCGCAAGGAATTTTGACTATTGCACGACTGCTAGTACGGACTTTGTGAAGCTCGATGAGCCAACTTTCTTGAAAATTTTACAGGTGGGTGTTCATCATTGCACCAAACCGTATACCGGTTTGTTCCTTGCATGCAGTCAGATTCATTTCGCTTCGGCCCAGTACAAAGTAGGCAGAAGGATCAATATTATGCTTTTTGCAATTTCCCTTGTTTGTTTCAATGTTCCTTTCCAAAATGTTCCAAACTATTTTCCTGAATTGGCTGAAGCTGAAATGAATTGGCAAATTGAAGGCTAACCGGAGGGTATCCATGTATATATTTATTTTGAGGGAAAATACACTATAGTTCAATGGACTATGGAAAGCCATAGTACACTGGTTCATGGCCATCCGGCGAAATGATGGATTGGGTTTTATATAGACAGAGTTATAGAGAGAGTGGGGTCCACCAAACAGGATATGAACCCACTGGTGTATCCCACAGTCTCTGCATTATCATCCATGATTTCATCAGACGATTGTGGCCCAATGGAAAATGGAAAACCATATAGTCTACTGGATTATGGAATGCTGTTCCTTATTTAAATAAGTCAATCTGACGACACTTGCACCTGGAGTTCAGGTAGTTCAAGATATGGCATACTTGAAACATATTTTTCATCCTCAATTTTCCCCGTGATTTTTGTACCAGGCGTCCGTGACTAGAACCAGGGTGACTAGTCTTCTGGCTTTGACAGTATGAGGATATGGAGGCATCAGTGATTGATGTAAAAATTATATTTAGTTATGATGATTATGCATTTTGCAGCATCCCAGTTTGACTGTAACGTCCGAGGAAAGGGTTCTCGATGCTGTGCTCATGTGGTGTATGCAAGCTGGTGAAGTTTATCACTGGGAAACATCGGATGAGTTGTTAAATGCTTGCACTCCTGATCTTCTATTCAGGGATAGGATTGGACTGATTCATGTACTGCTTCCTCTTGTACGCTTTCCACTAATGCCAGTGACCTTGCTCAAGAGGGTATGCTACATTTTGTTTTTTTTTTTTTTAGAGTAAAAATTTACTATAATCCAAATAGACTATGGAAAAGCCGTAGTCCACAGTTCGCCATCATCCATTGAAATGTTGGATAATGTTGGATCTGGAGTGGAACCATGACCCATTGGTGGGGTCTTCTCTCTTTCAACACCAATCACTTCAACTGCGGTGATTACCCAATGGGCAGTGGTTTTCTCAATGTCTGTTGATTTGTGTATACTTTTCAGTGCTGTGGAGTTTTTTGAGATATGCCTACTAAACTTGAGTATTTGCTTTTTGTTACTGTGCTGCAGCTGGAGAAGAGCAATCTCAACAGGCAAATTCCAGTATTCCAGGAACTAGTGAGTGATAAAATAGTTCTTTTTGAAGTTCTTTAAATTATGCAGAATTTTGTGGCTTAGAAAGCAGTTGAAAGTGTAGATTTCTTAATGATTTCAGCCTGGGTGTACAAGCTGCAGTTAGGGTTTGGGCTGCATATCAGCTTAAATAAATTGCTACAAAGGAGGAAATACATGGTTTTAAAAATTTTACTCTTAAATATGTTTCAAATTTGGAAAAGCATGTGTGCTTCTGTATGTTTGTGGGATCATAAGTCAATTTTGACAAGATCTTAAGCACTACCAAATTCTGACCATGATTATTTAATTTGTTAGGTGAAGGAAGCCATTGAATTTGCAGACACTTCAGCTATGAAAATTGCAAATGAGCAGAAGTAAGATATAGCATTCATTTCCCTTTATACCACTAATGACCATTTATAATTGCTAGCAATGGGAACTTCAACATATAGGATTCTAGGTTATCTCTTACTCACTCCTGTGGATTTATGACTTGGCGTTTTGTTCTTTTACTACATTCCAGCCATCATTATGTGCTCACACACTCTTTTTAACTTTGGCAGTATGAGGTTCCAGCACAGACCCTCCAGTTTCAAAGAGCTTCAATACATATGTGATGGGGACCAGAATGGAGTTTTGTATTATTCTGGCACTTCATATGGGGAGCACGACTGGGTTAATCCTTTTCTTGCAAAGGTAACCTTTGAATCTATAGTTTTACCTTCTATTTTCTTCTCTAGTCTAAGTATACCCACCCTAATGGCGTTCATGGAGAGGCTAATGGCAAATAGCATGTGGCTATTACTCCGAATGTGTTCCATTTTCTTATTTATCTCAACAACCACTCTCCATTTCCCTCCCCCAGAGAGGCTAATGTAGCAAATGATATATGTAGCTGGCTTGGGTTTTGTTTGACTAAAGACCGTCGCTCTTTGCTTCATTTTGTATTTCTTTCTGTATTTTATATAATCAAATAATTACTACCTATAGAAAGTGGAAAAATGATGGACATTATTGGTCTGGATTGATTTTGATGACCAATCGATGGTCTATGTTAACATGGATTTGACTAAGTTCCCATTTTGGTTTTCTTTATGTCTAACAGAGAGTTATTGTGACGGCTAGCAGCCCAGCTTCTAGGTACACTGATCCCAAGTCATTGGTCTCAAGGACATACCAGGTTTGGCAAATGAATTTCTTTATGTGTAGTCTTGAAACTCTAGGTTGCTGTTCTTTTTCTCTCAATTATTTTGATTCTTCAAGTTGTCCTTGAAGATAACTAACTCTTGAACAAATTAGGCTACGTCTTTTGCGGGCCCTCGGATAGTAGGAGGAAAAAACTGTGCATGGTGGAAGATTGACATTGGCCAAGATCATGAGGTTAGCATCTTACCAAGCTTCAGCTTTCTAATTTCTGTTCATGTGTTGTTATGGTGGCCATGTATGGGGCAGGGTGTTATGAACCTGTTGCGGAAACATCCAATTATTTTTTGTTTTTCTACGGTTAACAAGTAAATAGAATGTTCACATTGCGTGACAAATAACATAAAATAAAAAAGTATGAGGCTAGAGTGATTATTTATTGACGCACCCATTATTAATGATTGAAGTTTATAACATACCATTGTTTTCATGCTTAGAACAGTAGTTGAAAACATCTTATTATTGGTGGTATTTTGTTATGATGATCTTGTTAAATGATCTACCTTTATATGGTCACTTCTATTTAATTTTTTCTGGGACTGGTCAAGTTACACGCATTGAGTAAGCTATCTGAAAGTATGTAAATGTGATCCAAACATTGAAATTTTAGTAGTCAACTAAAGAGATAATAAACCAAACCCTAAGTGAAACAGCAAAAGAAATGAAAAGTGAAATAGGATATAAAATGAAACTAGACTAAAATTTGCACAAAGCATGCACATAAACAAAAAAACAAATAATGATCTTAGGGGAGTAGCATAAATAAAACCTAATTTTTTCTCTTTTGGGTTAGTTCAGTTGGATTTCAACTTGGGATTTTGTGTTCTAATTGTGGATGGTTTAACCAATCAAGCCTGAAACTACAATACACTGAGAGAAAAAAGTGATGACATGAAAATGTAGGGAACAAAACTGAAGGAAGAGATAATCGGGCCTGAATGCGCAAAATTCATGTCTGTTTGTATGCATGCATGTTTATGTGTGGGACGGAGTATGAAAATGTTGCTGATGCACAAAGGGTTTTGGATCTTTTCTTCACTCTTACCATAATGCAGTTTTATCATTTTCCATTCTTGGTTTCTTCTTAGTATGACTAGAAGTGGGTCGGTGTGGTGCAGTGACGTCAAGTAACACAGGGAATTCAATCTCCAGTATCTCCCATGCTGCGTTCCTATTGTTGTATGTGTGTTGAAGCCAAATCACATGTATGCCACTTTGGCACAATGTGTATCATTGGTTGACATCTCCCTCTCTTGTTTCGAGCCTTTGGATTGAAACCCTTTTGTTTAGAGAGAGAGTGAACATGGGTTTTCTCTTGTTGGGTGTTGTGCGCCCAGTACTAGAGAGCGTGGACAAAGTGAGCTCTCTTGTGGGTTTTGCTGTGTGCCCAGTTCTAAAGAGAGTGTGAAAGAGGAACCTATTACATTGTGTTTTGCTGGCTGTACTGTAAAAGGGCCTTTATAGAGAAAGAGAGCACTTTGAAGGTTTTTGGGCCTTGTTCCACCTTGTGATCTCCATTAAACCAGTAGGTAAAGCTCTGCATTTCTCTCCTGTAGATGTAGGTCACAAAATCTGGCTGAACCATATTAAATCTTGTGTTGTTTGATGGTTGGATACTTTCCCCTGCTTTCTTTGTGATTCCCTATGGTTTCCATTGCATGCTTATGAGCTTTGGATGCACAACAATTCATTTGGTATTACGTCCACAACACTTCTAGAGATGATCATATATAAACAATATATATAAGCATACTTTCAAAGGTTTTCACTTCCAGTTTTCAAAAGCTGAAGTCAGTTTGACGGCTTATAATGATCGTGTGTTTTCTAGAAACGGACTACGAAAAGGAATGACATTTTTTGTTTGTTTGATGGATGAATGCAGCTTATGTGCAATTACTACACGATAAGACAAGATGGTTCTACAGGGTTCACTCGTCATTGGTCTCTGCAGGTGAGCCATTCACTTCTCTCTCCTAGCATGTTTTTCTCCTTAACTTTCTCTCTCCTCACTTAAACTTCCCATCTAACAATGGTAAGGTTTGTCACCAATCACCAGGGCTCACGAGATGCTGAAAATTGGACTGACTTAAGAGTACACGAAAATGACCGGACTATATGCAAGCCTGCCCAATTTGCCTCATGGCCAATACACCCCCCAAATGCCCTCCTCCCTTTTAGATTCTTTAGGGTTTTATTGACTGGGCTGACCACTAGTGACTCGAACCCGTGGAACCTATGCATGTGCTTCTTGGAGCTGTATGGTTATTTTCGTTGATTCACAATGCATGAGCCAAACCTCTTGTGGGTGGCGTATGGGCTGCAGGTGGCCTCTTATCGCTCCCTGCCTGTGTAAAGTTAATGTGGATGAAGAAGAGAGTATTGTTATGTCATTCGTTTGCTTGCATTGTTGAGTTGTTGAATGCTTTCCCCCCACCCGGCCTCCTTTTTGGATGCTTTGTGTTTGTATATATTCAGGCTTGTATGTCTTGATGGTTTTGTTATAGTGGGTGCTGTCTATGGTAGTTCATATGCATGTGTGAGAGCGCTCTCTTTTGTATGCGTACGTGCGCTTCTCTCTGTGTCACTCTCTCAAATGGTTGGCTGAGATAGAGGCAGGGTGTTATACTACTGTGTGCGAGAGGGCGGGGTCATACTCTTAATTCTATGGGAAGATATTCTATGCTTATCATCAGTATTGCTTGTGGCTGGCAGACCTGTCATCCACCATCTGTGTTCCTGTGGACATAAGCCGCTTTCCGTTTCTAATCCGCCTTCTTCAGTGGTGGTTGATTTCAAGTTCCCATGGATAAATATGGGCGCTGCCTTCAGTTGATTGCAACCTCCCATGGATAAATATGGGCGATGGGTGGTAGGTCCGAGTATCTGTATTATAGTTGCAATTTTGCACCATAAATGAGAGCTGTTAGTGTGCGTAGTTTCAGAAAAATGTTGCCCATTTGTGCCCACTGTTCCTCATGGTTTGGGCATGATAATCCTCTTCTTTTTTTTGTTTTCTTAGGAGATCATGATATCATGATGTTGCTGAAGTGAGCAAAGAAGAATTCGTTAGGGATGGCTCGAATGGGCAGTGAACTGTAGGCCCAAGACATAATTGACTGCTGAATCGTCAAGAGGTTGCTGAAGTGAGCAAAGAAGAATTCCTTAGGGATGGCTCGAATGGGCAGTGAACTGTAGGCCCAAGACATAATTGACTGCTGAATCGTCAAGAGGAAGGAAGGTAGATCCCGACTACGGCTTTCAAATGTTTTGAGATTACGTTCACTCTATAGGTTCCAGAGCATGGCTGAGATAGAGATCCCAGAGAGGGAAAAGGAGAGGCCCAAGCCTGTTGAAGCAAGGTGTGAATATGGCAATGTCTGGGGAAACTCCAATGCATGGCTGAGATAGAGATCCCAGAGAGGGAAAGGAGAGGCCCAAGCCTGTTGAAGCAAAGTGTGAATATTGCAATGTCTGGGGAAACTCCAATGCATGGCTGAGATAGAGATCCCAGAGAGGGAAAAGGAGAGGCCCAAGCCTGTTGAAGCAAGGTGTGAATATTGCAACGTCTGGCGAAACTCCAATTTGAAATAACCTGTAACCAGTCCCAAAGAGCACCAACAAATGGGAACCGGATGAAATGGTAGTCAATGGACCCACAGACCACCAACAATTGGGCACTGGATGAAAAGGTGGTCAATGGACTCCTTGCTGTTTTTACACAACAGGCAGACATTAGTGAGGATCATTCCCCTATTCTGCAGGCAGTGACGAGTCTTCCCTGGCTCAGAAGCCACAAAAAGGTCTTTGACCGTGTGGAACTTTACAATTCCAGAACTTGGCAATAAGAGGCATTTCCTCAATATATCAATCAACTGGACAGAGAACATACCATTAGGCTCCAGGTTCCAGATAATTGTGCCAAGCTTCCCTGGGTGGAAACAATAAGGCATGGAGCGAGCGAACGAGCTCATAAGAGATTGGAATTGTTTTGCCACAACTGCATCAACCCTTTCGAATGTTTAGGTCTAAATTCCATACCAACCGGTCACCCGAGTACGAATTCCTATTTTTGGGTTGATCTATTGTACCGCTATGGGTACATAATTTTCAGGGAGTAAATCTCCCAGCCATTTGGTCTGCCAAAACTTGGTTTGCAGTCAATCGCCCAGCAGAATTCTTGAGAGAGCTAGGAATAAGATTCTAACTCCTTGAATCCCTTTCAAAATTTGTGATAGGAGGGCCGGTTAAGAGCATTTCTTGGTAATGAAGCCATTAGGGTCCGTCATATTTGCCAAAGATAACACTAGCCCACAACTGGTCTCCGTTAGTTATTCTTCCTTCTCTTTGTCCGTCTCCCTCTCCCTCTCTTTTCTCTTCATTCTCTGTCTGTCTCCCTCTTTCTCTCTTCGCTCTTAAATCGAAACGAAGTTTTATTAATGGTGGAGAGGGATCATTTGGTTCAAAAGTTGCAACTGTAGGGGAGGGGTCTTGCTCGTAAACCACGGGAAAGAGCTTTTGTGGTTCCTTATGAAGCAGAGATTGAAACCACATCCATAAAATGAGTTAAAAAGAGAGGTTTGTTTTGAGACGAGAGCTCCTTTCTCTGGAGAAAAATCATTTGAGACTAAAGATTTCAATTTTTCTGCTCATAGAAGACGGGAACATGAAAAATAGCTATAATTTGGATGATTTTTGTTAAGGTTGTCATCTTTTATTATCAGATGGGTGGGATTTGATATCAGGATCAGACGATTCGGAGGTCGTCTTTTTCAACCCAACTGAAGAGGCTTCTCTCACCAATGGAATGGAATGGAATGGGTCTTTGAACTTGGTCCGTTCTTGAAGAAGATGAAGGAGAAATATCTTACCCATGATTGTACACGGATTCAATTATGCAATCATCTCCTCTCGAGCAATCATCTCACGACTCCTCCCTCATCTCTTAAGGACAGTATCCCTAGTATATGATTTTACACTCTCTACTAACGAAATGGAACTGTTCAAATTCTTGCACACCCAAAGATAAGATGAATCATCAAATGTAGGAGATAGAATCGCATCCAGAGAGAACCACGAACTCTATGGATACTTCTTAGATCTCAAAGTTTGGGGATGTAATCTTTACTACTCATAATCCAATCTCAATTTAAAAAATCCAAAATAAATTCTCAATGTACTAAGAAAAAACTAATGCCTCAAGATTGAATTGAGACCCTTCAAATTTGGAATGGCTAGATCTAAGTGTCATAAAACTCAAAAGGGCCGGTTTATGTCATTTCTTCATTAAATTTGATTTTGTTTCTCTTTTTTAAAATTTTTGAGATAATTTCTCTTTAAAAGTTTCCAAACAATTTCTCTCTCTAAAATCTGATATAGTTTCTCTTTCTAAAATTTTAAGATATTTTCTCTTCTTAAAATTTAAAATTTGCAATAGTTTCTCTCTTTTAAAATATTAAGATATTTTCCCTCACTAAAAATTTTTACTTTATCTTTCTAAAATTTGATATAGTTTGTCTTTCTAATATTTTAAGATACTTTTCTCTCCAAAACTTAAATTATGAGAGAGTTTCTCTGTCTAAAAATATTGAGATAATTTCTCTTTCTAAAATTATTTAAGCACTTTCTATCTCTAAAATTTGATATAGTGTCTCTTTCTAAAATTGTAAGATACTTTCTCTCTATAAAATTTAAATTTTAATATAGTTTCTTTCTTTAAAATTTAGAGACAACTTCTCTCTAAAAGTTTTCAAATACTTTCTCTATCTAAAACATAAAATTTGAGATAATTTCTCTCTTTAAACATTTTAATCTAGTTTCTCTCTCTAAAAACTCTAGGTACTTGCTCTCTCTAAAACTTAAAATTTGAGATAGTTTTTATCTCTAAAATTTGATATAGTTTCTCTCTAAAATTTTAAAATACTTTTTCTCTGTAAAATTAAAATTTGAGATAGTTTCTCTCTAAAGTTTTTAAGGTAGATTCTCTCTCTAAAAAAATTTAGTACTTTCTCTCTCTAAATATTTTGAGATAGTTTCTCTCTAAAAAACTTGAGGTTGTTTGTCTCTCTAAGATTTAAACTTTGAGATAATTTCTCTTTAAATATTCTCAAGTACTTTCTTTTTGTAAATATTAAAATTTGACATAGTTTCTCTCTAAAAAAATTTATATACTTTCTCTCTCTAAAACTTAAAATTTGAGATAGTTTATCGCTCTAAATATTTTGAGATAGTTTCTCTTTCTAAAAATTTTTCAGATACTTCTTTTTATAGAATTTGATATAGTTTATCTCTAAAATTTTAAGATATTTTCTCTCTCTAAAAGTTAAAATCTGAAATAGGTTCTCTCTCTATACAAAGTTTGAGATAATTTCTCTCACTAAAAAATTATGATAGTTTCCTTTTCTAAAATTAAAAGTAGTTTATCTCCAAAATTTTAAGATATTTTATTTTTCTAATTCGTGGGTGTATTTTTGTGCAATTAATTGTATTTTATAAAGTAGACATCTATGCAATGGGAGAATCTGGCTGGAAATTAATTTCAGAGGGTAAAGACAAAGATACAAATTTTTTTATTTTTGGTTTGAAAGGAGAAAAAACAATTACGGGTGAAAATATTTTCAATCCCAAAGTTTTGATCCAAACGACATAAATGTGCAATCTCCATTGAAATAAATTTTGGAAATGCATTTCCAGGTATCTAAACGGCTCCAAAATTCGTATTTTTTCTTTTAAAAATAATCATCCAATAATTCTTGTGTAGTTCCCAAAATTTTAGACAAAAATAATAATAATAACTAGGTGTTTTGGGGGTGTCTACTCCTATGGGAGCATAGTGTAGGTGTCTACCTTTAAAACCTTGATACGTGTCCACTTTTTATGTTACTATGATATTTTTAGGAAAAATTATAAAAAAAATAAAATAAAATAAAATCCTAAGACTACACATTCTATACAACTTACACCCGACCTAACTTTTTCTCTTATTTTTTTCCCAAATATACTTTCTATGCAAATACCCCCAACCAAATAAAAAAATACCTAAACTACCCCTCCTTACTTTTACTTTCTCCACCTCTCTCCTCTTTCCTACCAAAATAGGGCTCTAGCACTGTGTAAGCCGGCAGTTGAACACTCTGTAAAGGGTAGTCCGGCATTTGCAAAATGCGGTCTGACAGTATATGTTTGCGACCCGGCAGTGGCAAAGGGCGGTCCGGCAATAGATGTTACTGGATTCCATGGCTCCAGTACTATATAAAGGGTGGTTTGAAAGTTATCTTAGGGCGGTCAAGTGGATTCCATGGCTCCGACACTATGCAAAGGGTGGTCTGTTAGTTGTCTTAGGGCGGTCAAGCACTTAAGTTTATGTAAAAGGCGGTCCAGCAATGCGATAATGAGCACTTAAGTTTCTATGAAGGGCAGTCCAGCAATGCGATGATGTGCTTGGGCAATGTGTTACTGGGCCCAAAATTTCTGTGAAAGGCAGTCCAGCAATGTGATGATGTGCTTGGACAATGTGTTACTGGGCCCAAAAGTATGTCAAATATGGCCAAAATGATTTTTGTATACAGGAAGGGTATTTCCCTTTTAAAAAATGAACTTTTTTTCCTTGGGGGGTATTTGTATAAAAAGTTTATTTTGGGGGAAAAAGTGAGAGAAAAAAATTATGTTGGGGTAAGTTGCATAGAAAGTGTGGTCTTGATTTTTTTTTTGTTTTTTGTTTTTTATTTTTTGTTTTTTGTTTTTTTGTAACTTTCTCATATTTTTATTCATTCCTAGTCAACAAACAATATGGACTTTTTAGGCACTTTACCGCAGCCAAACTTTTTCTAACATATTTTTTCCAAAAACCAACATTTCTAGCTAATACCCCAAATACAAAAAGTTGACTTTTTTTTTTATTTATGAAAATACCCTTCCCGTACCTAACAAATTATTTTCGCTGAAGAGGGCCGTCCGGCGTTTCAAAGAGGCGGTCCAGCGTTTAGAAGAGGCGGTCCAGCATTTAGAAGAGGCGATCCGACGTTTAGAAGAAGCGGTTCGACGATTATTTTGCTGGAATAGGTGGTCCAGCATTTCATTATGACAGTCCGGGGATTGGAGAAATGGGCAGTCCAGCGTTTTGAAATAGCGGTCTGACATTTTGAAGGGGCAGTCCGGCGTTTTAAAGTGGCGGTACAGCATTTTGAAGGGGCAATCTGGCGTTTTAAAGTGGCAGTACGGCATTTTGAAGGGGCAGTCCAGTGTTTTAAAGTGACGCGTTTTGAAGTGAACAGTTCGACGTTGTGCAAATGCAGTCCGGCGTTTCTTTTTATTGAAATCTGAAAATGATTTGTTATATCCGAGAATGGTATTTTCGACAAAAAAAACAAATGAACTTTTTGTATTGGGGTTATTAACTAAAAAAGTTGGTTTTGGAGAAAAATATGTTTAGAAAAGTTATGCTATGGTAAAATGCCTAGAAAGTCTATATTTGAGGGTTTTAAGCAATTTTCTCAAAAAATAAATTTACCTCACTTTTATGTTTTATCGACTATTTGGGACTATAAGCTCCAAAATATTGTTCGAATATTGTAGGACCGAAATTTATTTATTTTGAATCCCGAAGATTCGAAAATAGGGCAATTTCGAACATGAAAGGTCCAAATGTTTTTCGGACCTCGGAGATCCAAAACTTTTTTTGGAGAGGTCCGAAATTGGCTTTGTTTCATATCCTATAGATCCAAAAATAGGGCAATTTTGGAAAATAAAAAAATTGGGCTCCTAAAAACGGGTATCTATGTAATATCTAGAATTTTGAATGTAATAAGTGAAAGTTTTAGGTGAAACTGTAGTAACATTTAGGATAATAGAAATAATGTTATTATCCCCCAAAAAAAAAAATATTATTTTTTTATGGAATATCACACATATCTATTATTTTAAGCCTCCTTACAATTTCACCTAAAATTTTCTGTTATTACTGCTCTACCCATTTTATTACAACATTTTGTTAATATTTTAAAAAATAACCAAATTGGTTATTTTTGAAATGGTGGATACGATGTTGTTTCCTTTATGTTTGACACAATGTACTGTAATACCTTGTTTTCTGCTAAAGGCCAACTACTTTGCGAGGTATCCAGAAATGAAGAAGGGCGATGAGAAAGTCGATTATATAATCAGGGTCGAATTCTATCATCAAATGGCGATGGTACGCCTTTATCTCATCCTTTTCTCTGATATTGTTTGGTTGGTACCTCGCTCTTCTCTCCTTCAT